CCCCACTCCATCCTTTCCCCCAAGCTCCCAACTCTGCCCCACCTCTTCCCACCCACTCCCACCCAGCACCTCCTGAACAGCTGATCCATAGTGTGCAGGAGGTGCGGGGGGGGGGAAGGGGAGGAGCTGATCGCTCAGGCTGCTGGCAGGCAGAAGGCGCTGTGGGGGAGTGGGAGGTACTGATCCATGGGGCTGCTGATGGGTACTGAGCACCCACTTTTTTTTCCCCCGTGGGTGCTCCAGCCCCAGAGCACCTGCGGGGTCGGTGCCTGTGCTACCTGCTATTACTGGAATCTCTGCTCTTTGTTTAATAAACGTCCGCTTGTTTTTACTAGAGACATCTCTAAGGGCCATGTGCTGGGCAGTGGAGGAGGTGGAACTGGCCTGCTGGGAGCTCTGTTCCTTTGGGAAGGGTGGATCTGGGAATGCTGTGAGCACCCAGTGGCACTGGGGCTGGACACTGCCAGGGGATGCTCAGAGGGCACACGGGTTCTGGGTGCCTATCACTAGCTTGTAGAGAGAGAACCATGTTTGAGACGACAGAGACTGGTGGAGGCAGGGAGCTGACCCCCAGTGGGCAGAGACAAGGCTCCCTTGCTCTAGCAGCAGGTGCCTCAAAACTCCCGGCAAGAGGGGATGAGGGAACATATGTGGGGCCAGCCAGGATGTTCCCACTGCCTGAACACCAGAGGGTGGCAGGGCCACCGTCTTAGCCTTGGCAGTGTCGGGGACTGGGGAGCTGGCCACCACACAGCTGCGTCACCAGCCTCACCATAAGCATGAGCGGTAGAGCAGATCCGCGAGGACTCCGGAAGGCCTGGAGGGTTGCACATGCACTTTATGGGCTAAAGAATAGCCAGTCAGAGGCTCTTCTTTAGACATGTCATAGAATTGCATTTTCCTGAACCAATCAGGATGTGCCAACAGGTGCGGTTATTGATAAAACATTCACCTCTCTTGCTAAGCCAGTCTTTAACGAATAAACAACAAGCACTGTACATAAGCTCTTGTAGTAACAGACCTGCCTCTAAAACGATTGTGTTAGTTTGCTTTCTAAAGTTTTGCCTAAACGAAACCTGCTCTAAAAACGTATTACTTGTAAACTGCAAAGAAAGGTTTAGATTTACACACAAAACACATACAGTCTCACTTAAAAGAAAACCCAGTGTATATAAAACAGTGGATAACACATTTTACCAGAGATAAGAATGCCATTTCTCCTCCACACCATTTTTCTTGCCTAACTTTTTAAAAAAATCTAAATGCTCTTAAACCAAGTAAAGTTTTAACAAATAAACTTCGAAAACATCAATGAAAAGGTGCATGTATGTAGATTTCTTTATTTCCCAAATGTATGTAAATTTAGCAAACATCCTTATTTCTTTTGACGTTTATACCAACAATTAAATTACCTCTTTTTACATAAAACCTCTAGCATTTGTCTTTAAAAAGGGTAGAAAGCCCCTCATGAAAAGTTATGCCTAACCTTTATACCAATTTCCCTTATTCCATTAACTTAATGTATCTTTATAGCCTTTGATATTTATTGGAAATTAGACCATATTGACTTTAGCTATAAGGAGACTTTTAATTTAAACATTTTAAAACACAATCTTGCAGGATATCCTTTGTAAAGTATGAAGATTTTTGGGGTCAACATAATACCCTGCCTCAACATTTACAATAAAAAAAGAGAAGCAGTAATTCTGTAATTGCATGAAGAAGGGAGATACAGATTGGCCTTTCTCTCCCGTCAGCAAAAGAATAATTTATTTTAAGACTTTCTGAACATTTAAAGCGTAGGGGGAAATGTCACAATAGATGACCCATATTTACATAAGTGCGTGTTTCAATAAGAAAGAAGTTTAAAAAGACAGAAGCCCTGTATCAACATGAACCAATGAGTAATTAGTAAGGAGAGAGATGAGCATGTGGCATATTTGAAGCAGCATGTTTCCCCGCTGTCATTTACAGAGCAATTTTACAATCAACAAATATTTTTTTTAAAGAGAAGTCATACTTTTCTAATTGCACAAAGAAGGGAGGTAAAATTGGCCCCTTTTGCCCTTGTTATCTGAATAAACATGTCCCACACATCCACTCCACTCTTTACAAAAAACTTGATTTTTGCAACAAAAGAATTTTTAATCACAGGATTAAAATTAAGTAAAATCGGAACTGAACTAAAGTGATTAAAAGCTAGATTATCATCAATTTTTAAAATAATGTAAGCATGTTTTTACAGCCTAAAGAAATGCCAAGAGCGGGAAATAGATAAGTGCATTTCATTTCCACAACTAAATAATTAGCATCCCTGTGACACAACTTAAAGAAAAGTTTTAGTAATTTTTTGTCTAAATGACTTGCATAGTAAGAAAAAACCCTGTAAAAATAGTTTTCAGGAATGTAAATTGTGAAGAAGTAAGTTCCTGTGGAATAGCAATATTATAAAAAACCCTCATGTAAAGAAGGGGTTTACAATTTTAAAAAGCGGCAAAAGGCCCATCATAGCTTTCTAAATGTTTCAAGAAACTCTTTAAAGAATAATGTTAGTTTGCTTTTTAAGTTTAAGTTTGAGGGGAAGGGGTGGCGCAAGGGCGGGGGCGTGGGGAGAAGGCATGGCAGGATGGCAGGGGGCTCAGGGGAAGGAGCAGAACAAGGACGGGGGCTCTAGGAGAAGGGGCGGTGCGAGGAATGGAGTTCAAGGGGAAGGGGCTGCGAGAGGGCGGGGGCTTGAGAGTGAGGCTGCAGAACCCGCCTCCAACATTCCCCCAGGTATCCCTCCCAGTATACACGCACCCCTCCAGTACCCCCAAAACATCCCCCCAGCATCCCCCAGGTACTCCCTCCTGTTCCGCCCAGATCCCCCCTTTCCCCGACAAGAGTGTCCTCTTTGGGGGAACCTGAACTATGGTAACCCTACTTACAGAGAGGCCAATGGACTTTTGAAGCACCCACTAAGTGTCTCACAAGTGTTGTCTAAAAGAGGCAGAGCCGCTTGAACAGGCCCCTTGTGGAAAGATGGAAGTACCTAATTTCTAGAGCCCTGCACGCTCGCGGATAACTGCTTTATAGCCACAGATATCCGTGGATCATTTTTGCGGATTGTGGCTTGGATGCGGATACAAATTTTGTATCCACGCAGGGCTCTGCTAATTCCACCCCACAGGGATGGAAGAGGATGACTTGCTGATAGTGCTACATTATCATTATACACACAATTCCATAGAGCTATAGACGTTAAGGCCAGAAAGGACCATCATGATGATTTGGGCTGACCTGCACATTGCAGTGAAATGCACAACAGGGCTCGTGCCTGGACGCAGCTGCTGTCTCCATGTCTAGCTGTGTAATATTACGGCAGGGTGTTTATACAGCACAAGGATAGGGTGGCGGTGGGAAGGTTAGAGGGGAGCTCTTTGAATCTGTATCTGTAACCGCGGTCCATTCCTTTCCAATAAGCAAGGCACCCATGCAACTGCACTTAGTTCTGCACCTTATCTACATACTAGAAACAATAATGATCATTTACTGGGGGCCCGGGCTGGCTGCTGCACTGACAGATGGGCCTGGTGCCCCGAGCTCAGGGGCATCAGGCACAAACAGACAGCGCCTGGCACATTGGGCACAGACAGACACCCGTAGTCAGTCTCTCCCTATAGCTCGTCTGCATGTGGGGGTGGTTGCTTTGTGGGGAAGGAGACGGCTGTCCCTGTGCACCTGACAATGGTTCTGCAGGTCACACCACATGCTGTCTGCATGGCTGGGCACAGGATGCTCAGGGTTGGGCATGGGAGCTGCACCAGGGAAAGCTGGGGGAGGGGAACGGAGCAGGGGAGCCTTCCAAGGCAGCTGGGGAGGGTAACGGGGGAGCTGAGACCTCCAGCCAGCAGCCGCAGTCCCCAGACGAGCCCCATCAGAGTTCCCACAGCCCAGGCAGCTGTCAGCCCTGGGGCTACTCTGCGCAGGATCCCACTGACCGGTCTCTCACTGCAGGCTGAGCCCAGCCCAGCCCAGCCCGGTGGCATGCGGCTCTCACAGCACCGGGTTTTCCTTCACCAGCCGGGTCATCTTGCTGTCAGGGTCCCTGGGGGGCTCTGGATTTGCCGCTCCCTGGGGCTGGGGCTGGGTCCCTGGAGCCCCCAGCGCCTCCATGTGCATGTGGCCTGCAAGCAAGAGGACAGGATGAAGTGCCCAGGCTAGGGTTGCCAACTTTCTAATTGCACAAAATTGAACACCCTTGCCCCACCCCCTGCCCCGAGGCCCCACCTCTGCTCCTTCTCTGAGGCCCCACCCCCACTCCCTCCAGCCCCCCTCTCTCCATCGCTTGCTCTCCCCCACCCTCACTCACTTTCACGGGGCTGGGGCAGGGGGTTGGGGTGCGGGAGGGGGTGAGGGTTCCAACTCGGGGTGCAGGCTCTGGGGTGGAGCCAGAAATTAGGGATTCAGGGTACGGGAGGGGGCTCCAGGCTGGGGCAGGGGATTGGGGTGTGGGAGTGGGTGAGGGCTCTGGCTGCGGGTGTGGGCTCTGGGGTTTGAAGTGCAAGAGGGGGCTCCAGGCTGGGGCCAAGGGATTTGGAGTGTGGGAGGGGGCTCAGGGCTGGGATTGGGAGTTGAGGTGTGGGAACGGGGTCTGGTAGGGAGGGTGCAGGAGGGTGTTCTGATCTGGGGAGGGGGTTGGGGTGCGGGTGGGGGTGCAGGGTCTGGGAGGGAGTTAGGGTGCAGGACGGTGTTCCGACCTGGGGCAGG